CATTGAAAGTGTATTGAAGGGTAGTGCTAAGAAGAGAATTGTAGGCTGAGGAGTGGTTTTTTATTTTTATTTTTTAAGGTTCACAGAGGTAGAATCAGTGGACTCAGGAAATAAATTCCAGCAAAAGAAGGGCCTTTGACGCTTAGGAGAAAGAGGGGGAGAGAGGGCCTTCAAAAACAAGAGGGAGGAGAAGTTAGGCATCTTTAGGGGTGAGGGGTTTTGGGGGTGGGAAGCTAGCACGCTAGCCCAGGGGAAAGAAAGGGGTGGGGAGAGGCTCCCAAGTGCTCCATAAGAGCATTGCTGCCAGGGGTGATATTTCTGAATGATAGGACGTTTGGTGTCACTGAATTGCAGAGGGTTAGAAAAGTGAAAGGCAGCAGTAAGGATGGAAAATGAGTGCAGAGAACTAGATCCCAAATGAAGCAAAGGCTGTACCAGGGATCAGGTGGTGGGTTGACCGGGTGGAATCACGCTACCACAGTTACAGAAGTAGAATGTATCATAGAGTCACAGTACCAGAGGAGCTCATGAGGTATGTTTCCTGAACACAAGTTCCTCAAGCTCACATTCCATGCTTTGATTACTATCTATTCACTGCAGCTTTCCAACCCAAAGTAAGTTCCAGGGGTTTTTTTTTTGTTATAGTTATTTTTAATTGATGCTTTTATCTCTTCAAACAGTGTCTTCATTCTCCCTGAGGACTGAAAACTGCTGGTGCTGCTGCACCCGTTGCCACTGTCGCTTACTCATGGAGGACTGAGCTATAGTCACCAACTCTTTACATCCAACAGCTCTACTTGGCAACTAGCTCCACTTGTTTATTTCAAAAGTGCATAAAATTCAGCAAAATGAAACTAAACTGAACTCATAACCTTCCTGCCAAATCTGGTTACCCTCTCGTGCTCTTTCCAGTGTACAATACCATCACCTATTCAAAGCACACAAGCCAGAATTTACCATCTTTGACACTAGCCCAACTTATACCTCACATAGAAAATATCACCAAATCTCACTCACATTCCTTACTAAATCTCTCTCAAATCCATCCACTTCTCATTTTCACTTCTACCACCCTAATCAAAGTTAGCCCTTCTCTTTCTTACCTGGACAGCTGCCACAGTGGTCTCCAATATCACATGCTTGGCCCTATAGTGCACACTCCACTCTCTACAGCCAGAGTGATTTTTTTTGGAGGGGGGTTATTACAATATTATTGGCTATATTTCCAATGCTGTACATTACATCCCCATGACTAATTTTATAACTGGAAATTTGTATCTCTTATTCCCATTCACTTTTTTCACTTTTCCTCCCACACCCCTAAGAACAGAAACCATAAGAAGAACAATCAATAACTTCTTTCACACTGGTCTTAGAAAAAAAATTTTTGGACATGTCTCCCTAGGCAAGGTCAACAAAATAAAAAATAAACAAATGGGATTATACCAAACTCAAAAGGTTTTGCACAGCAAAGGAAATGATCATCAAAACAAAAAGGCAACCCACTGAATGGGAGAAGATATCTGCAAATAATATATCTGATTAGGGGTTAATATCCAAAATATATCAAGAATTCATACAACTCCAAGTAAAAAAAACAACAACCCACAATCCAATTAAAAGATGGGCAGAGGACCTGAATAGACATTTTTTCCACAGTGCCTTTTTAAATAAAAATCTTCTCATGTTATGCCCCTGATTAAGGACCATGGATATTATCATTCCTTACAATGAGTCTTTACCATGGTCTACATGAATGAGCTTTTTCCTGCTATGTCTCCAAATTCTTCTTATGTCAACTTTCTCTCTGGTCATCTGCTGTCCCATTACTGTGGCCTTCTTTCAGTTCCTTGAACATGCTACACTCAGGGGGTTTGCACATGCTATTTTCCATCCTCTTCCAAGTGTAGCTCCCACTTACCATTTTGTGTTTAGATAAACCCAAAATGTCACATCTCAAAAAAAGAGACTTACTCTCACAGACTAACTTGGATTCCCTGGTAAATGAATGCCCTAAGAGCCCCCCACTCTTTATAGCCTTTACAATTATACCAACTCATTGTATAATTTGACATTTCCTATCTTTCTCCCAGGAGAATACAAACCTCATTAGGACAGATACTATATTTGCTTTTTTTACCACTGTAGTTTCCAGGTTCTAGAACAATGCTGTATGCTTTGTAGTTCTGTAAGAAAGAGTGTGACAAACCCCCTGGCAATGGGCAAGAAGATACCTGATTGGTAGAGTTACTCTTGCATCACTCAGGTACAAAGCAGGTACCATCAAAGCTAGGATACAGTAATATATTGGTGGCTGGAGCCATTTCACGCCTGGGGTACATATAAAAAAAAGTAGGGAAAGTTGCATTCTCAGTAGCCATTTTGTAGAGGTACAATGTATATTTACAGATTTAAAAAAGCTATTTAAATTTGTTTAACCTGTTATTTTCCAAACTTACTTAACTATGAATCTCTTTACTGCATAAGCCATTAGAATATTTTTGGATACTTGTGATCCCAGATATACTGTAATAAATACATACTGAGTTGCCTGAACTGTCCAAACAGTATATCCCAAACAGTGATTTCTGACCCCATGTTTTTATGAACTTGTCCCTCCCTAACCACCTCAGAGTTGTGGGCATGTGAGGAGGTGCAGCTTCTGGGGCCTGATGACCCCATGTTGGGGAGTCATCATGGGCCCGGAGCAAGCAAAGAGAAAATTGGTCTGCAGACAGCATGAAGCAGCAATGGGAAGAGAAATGCTAGGCAGGGCTTCCAGACTCAAAAAGGGTCAGGCAGGACAACAGGAGTGAGGTGAACTAAAGGGACATGCCCTGTCTGAAGAAAATGAAAATCAGAATTCCTTCATCTACTGGTTTTCAAAGTGTGATTCCATAGCATCATCACCTAGGAAATTGTTGGAGATGCAACTTCCCAAGATCCACCCTAAGATTTATTTATTATAAACTCTGGGGTGGGGCTCAGCAATCAATGTTTTAACAAGGCCTTTAGGTAAATGTGATGCACATGCACACATTAGACTGCCAGCCAAGCTATAAACAGCTCAGAAACAAATCTACCCACAGGCTGACAACTGGTGACCTCTGCTCATGGCGAGAGAAAGAGAAATGGCAGTCTGGACTTTGAATGACTTTCCAGACCCCAGTTCCATTGATTTATGACCCCTGGTTACCCAAGTCCTAGGGCTAACTCTGAAGTTTCACTAAGTTCCCTCTCTTGCTTAAGCTGGCTCAGTGAGGTTGTTTCTTGTATCCAAACAAAGATTAAGCTACACCAATAAAGAGAAAACAACAAACAAAACTGGATTCAAGGTCTGGTTCAGCCAAAAATGAGCTGTGAGGGAGGCCTTACACAATTCCTTCTCTCTGTGCCACAGTGCCATCCACCTGCAAATGATGGGGCCGGCCTGGGTATCCAGGGTGTCTTCACTTTCTAATATGCTAGACTACACACTGGCTCCTCTGGATAATCTCTTGACTCTACAGAACCCTTAAGAAAGATCCTCAATTTTCCTCAGTTTTACCCATTGACCCTAAGTAGTTAAAGTAAAAAAACAGAAGATAAAAACCACCTCAATTCTCTTTCTTTCCTGATCTTTCAAAAGCATCATCTATTAGAGAGATGCTTTCAATAAGATTTATTTGATGTTCTAATTCTTCAGTTTAAAATTAAATTTCAGCATATCATAATTAGGTTAACTTTAATTAAGGTTGCCATCTGTCAAAAAATGTACATAAAGAAGAACACAAAACCAAATTATAATTGCAAAAAAAATAGACATTTTTGGCAATTATTCTCTTCACAAAAATATAGCTCATCAACAGATTCAATATTAAATGAAATAGCAAAATATTTTAAAGATTTTAAGCAAGTAAAAAGGTTTTGAGGAAAATATCTCAAAATCAATAGTATCCTAAAATAGTAAGAATATCCTCTATTAAGCCCATAAACCAAGCATTATGTAACTTTTTACTTGAAAAAGAATAAAAACTAGAAACTAATATTGTTTTAACTCTTAAATTCCCACACCAGTAGACTTTTCTCTGGTGTTGAAATGAAAACAGTGACCAAATGCTTTGATGGGAAACTCATTACAATGAGAACCACAGGTTTCTGAAACTGAAGATTATTCTGTGCCTCCCAGATACCAGGGAAAATAAGGGAAATATTTCAGTTTCTCATCCAGTAATTTGCTTTGTATAAAATAAGTGTTCTAGAAAAGATTGAGATGAGAGTAAATTTTCTAAAACAGAAAATGAAGGGTGAAAACAAATTTTTTAAGAAAATTTAAAAACAGAGGGAAGAAATCTTTCAACAGAATAGAATCTCTCTCTGTGTCCCTGAAAGGTTTGCTATCCATATTTGTTATCCTAGAAAAGCTCTTCTGAAGAAAGTTTTCAGTGTAAGAACTGCTTGAAAGAAGCCAACCCTTTGGAAATAGCAACGGCTCAGTCATTTATTAATGTCAAATATGCTGCCCGCATGAATTAGCTTGCCTTTTGGAGCCACACAGAAAGTTCCCGTGCACCTGCCTCTTAATGTCCTGACACTTCTGGCTTCAATGGCAGCAGCATCAACCACCAGGAAATAAAATTTTTTTAAAAAGTTGAACATAACTACAGTCTACATTTTGAATACTTGATTCATCGATTTTTAATGGATTCTTAAGAAAGTATCATCAGTGATCACAGCATATAAAAGCCTGCTCTGATGTAAAAGGAAAAACAAAACAGTCATTTTCCCAAACTGACAAAATGTAACCAAATTACCACAAAACTGACCTTAGAAACAAAGAGAAATGGAGCAAAAGGAGGCCAGATTTCTAAATGGCAGTCCCACAGTGGCAAATATTCCAGAACTAAAAAAAAGCTGCCAAGTAGAAGACAGAAAATTAAAGGACTTTCCAAAACCAGCCAAGCCCAGCGCATACAGAGATCCCAAAGGCTGGGGTGAGATGCAGAAACAGCACACAGGGACAAGGTACCACCTTACTCTTTATTTACAGCATAGTTCTAAGTTGTTAAATCAAGGACACATGAAATGACTCCTTTTTCCTGGGTTGGCATCAGACATCCTTTCTATTAGCTGCATTTATATCATCTTTATGTTTTGCTTTTCCTTTTGGGAGAGCAAGGGTGGGGACTGACAAATGGGCCAAAGAGACTTCAGTCTGAAAACCAAGAGAAACCTCTGCTTGCAGAGAAACAAAGGAATGGACTCCCCCTCTTGGGAAAGGCAGGAACCCTGCTGTAGTTATGAGGGCCCTGGTAGGAAGGGAAAGCTGCCACAAAGAGATTCTCCCCAGAGGTGGTCAAAGAAGGCAAGGACCTGGGGTGTGGAATGGCTGCTGTCTCCACCATCACCCTCTCTTCTGTCTCAGCCTTTGCCTCACCAAATCCAATAATAAACAAGGGAAAGTAATTTTGTGTAGAAAACCAAAGTAAATGGGAATGTGGGTGGAAGGAACATAAAAGAAGAAACTGAAAATTATCAAAAGTTTCTCAGCGTGTGTTTCTCAGACTGGCATAGAAATCTCTGATCCACTGCTTCATGTATTTAACTTCCAAGGAGCGGGCTAATAGCAGACTCGTGGGATCAAAGGCATTGTTGGCTCGAAGATCTAGGTGATGGGCCCCATTTGGGATAGTGATGGCAACCAAGGTGTCTGTGATGTTCTTGGTTACTCCACCTCCTGACCAGGGGTCTAGGTCACCATTGCTAAGTGAGGGAAAAAAGAAAAAAATAGGATTGTTAGATTTTTGTATTTATAGCCAGATAAGACAGGAGAAATCTATTTTATGCATAACAGCTAAAATTACAAACTTGTAACCTGGGGATTTGATCTGGGGACCTAACCTGTCATATAGGAAGGTTATTCACACCAGAGTTTTACATTTTTCTGAAAACAACTACTAGAAACAGGGCCAAGGAGTGAAGATGGTACCCCATGAATTAGTCCAGATTGTATCAAAAATTGAAATTTAGAAACCTAAATTTCAATCCCAGCTTCATCACTCAAAAGCCAGATGACCTTCCTCCTCTGAAACACAGAGATAACAAGGCCAACCTCACAGGGCTGTTGCCTGTATGTAAATACCAGATGTTTGTGGTACGTGTTGTATTTAATAAGCACAAGTGTCAGGCATGTACCAGTCCCTCCGTTTACACCAGTGTCCTTCTCCTAGGATCAGCTATCAAAGTAATAAAGAAACACTATTTTAAAACAATAATTATCTCTTAGCTATTAAAAAAAAACCTTTATTTTTCACACAATACATCCCTTGCAGTATACTACTTGGGGAAATAGGGCATAAAACTGAAAAAATTCCTCCAAATCAGAATCAGAAAATTTGGTCATTACTCAAAGATCCCTATTTTACGGTGGCTTTAAAGTTAAGGAAATGCTGTTAGGTTATTAGTCTTGGCTGGTACACACAACACATTTCAGAATGATCGCAACAGGATCAGTCATTGAAACAGGCTATTTAGTTTAGCTGAGTAAAAATGCAACATAATCACAGAGAGCATCCTTAACAGTATTTAAGACCTTTATTGAGTTATATTTCACTGCAAAACTCACCCATTTAAATTGTACAATTCAATGGTTTTTGTATATTCATAGTTTTGCAATTTTAGAACATTTTCATCACCCCCAAAAGTAACCCATTCTCACTGGCAGCCAATAATCCCAGTTTCCCTCCTCGTAATTCTTCACTCTCAGACCCACACAACCACTAATCTAATTTTCATCTCTACAGATTGCCTATTCTGGACATTTCATATAAATGGAATTATACAATAGGTGGCCTTTTGTGACAACAGGCTTCTTTCACTTTGACATAATGTTTTCCAGGTTTCATCCAAGTTGTAGTATGTATCAGCACATTATTCCTTTTTATTGACAAATAATATTCCATTGTATGAATATGCCACATTTCATTTATCCAATCATGAGATGTACATTTGCATTATTTCCACTTTTTTCTACTATACACATGGTTCCTATGAACATTCATATGCAAGGTTTTGCATGGGCACATGTTTTAATTTTTCTTGGGTATATACCTAAAAATGAAATTTCAGTATATATGGTAACTTAACCTTGTGAAAAGCTGCCAAGCTGTTTTCCAAAGTGGCTGAGTCATTTTACATTTTTCACTAGGAACACACGAGAGTTCCAATTTCTCTATATCCTTGCCAACATATGTTATAAGTCTTTTTGCTTTTACATTTCTAATTTAAGTATAGTTGGTATATAATATTATATTAGTTATATTAGTTTCAGGTATACAGTATAGTGATTCAATATTTTTATAACTTTCAATGAGATCACCCCACTAATTGTAGTAATAACTGTCATGATGCAAACTTATCACGATAGTATTGACTATATTCCTATTCAGCTTTTTTCTACCATCAAATTAAATGGAAAAATATGCATTTAGTTACTTTAAATATATGTGTGTTTGAAATGCAATTTTAAATTCATACCACAAATTCTCACCTCATTTTTCTTTTAAAAAATAATTAATTGCAATTAATAACATCATTCTTGAAAAAAAAAACTAATCCAAAAATGTGCTTTTTGGTTTTATTGAAAACAAAAGGGAAAATTCACATGCAAAATACAGCCCTTTGTTTTCAACTACCAGATATAGAGTATTTTTAAAGTAAACTAAAAAGGGGATTTAGTTTACTCTTAAACTAAAGAGTAAACTTTAGTTTGGATTCTCTTAAGTCAACAAACAGCTTTATTCAAATTTGAAAGGACCAACCTGACTGGAAACTCCATTATTTGCAAAACAAAAAAGCCATCCAACAGCCACAAGGTAAAATGTGTTTGATATAAAAGGTTGTCTGAATCACTTCACTGACTTAGCAATAGTGTCTGGAGTTGCTGAGACACCTAAGATGTACATGAGCTTGAATTTCTTGGTCCTAGACCTGTGAAAGCTAAACAAGTCACTGGGAAATTTACAAAAAGAAACTACTAATACTGGCTTTCATGAGAAAATCTATTGGATTGGCCAAAAAGTCCATTTAGTTTTTTTCCATAAAATAAAAGACATATTTTTCATTTTCACCAATAACTTCATTGATTTGGATATTTTGAGTATGTCGGTATTCTCCCATTATTGACTTCTAGTGTGTAGGAGCCAGAAGTGCTGCTAAACATCTTCCAATGCATAAGATAGCTCACAACAAAGAATTATTTGACCAAAATGTCAATAGTGACAAGAAGCTTCATAAAACACTTTTGACGTGTTCAATTAGTCACAACACCTTCATATGCTTCACAAATCTTTTTCTGCATTTCAGTCGCATTTTTACCTTTCTTGAAATTATAAATCATGATATGTCAAAAGTGTTGCAAATCTTCTTCCATCTTCAATATTAAAATGGCTGCACAAAACTTCACCAATTTTGATGTTTTTTAAGAATGCATGGTGATATGACAGCTGTCACAATACAATCTAACAAAATAGTTTCAAATAAAGTTCAAGACAACTAAGACCTATAGGGAACCATACCTTGTGACATGGGAAATGTAGCCCAGCCCCCACTTGGAAAAGCCAGTGCAGAGCGAGGTCTGGTACAACAGGACCCACGCCCACAGATAGGTTCTCCCATGGGGAATCAGGCCTGCATTGTACCTAGGCTGCTATGAGACTTGCTTTTGCTAAAACTCCCTCACCCTGGATTGAGGCAGAAAATGTTTACTGCACATATCTAAAGTAACTTCCTAAAATCTGTGCAAAACCTCCCAAGTATGGAATGTAACCAATTCAACCACTCTTCCCCTTGATTTGAACCATACTCCTCTTTGAAGTAATTAACAACATTCTTTCCTTTGTTATCTGTTAACGGTAATCACCTACAGCAAACCTGTGCATAGTAAATGAGGACCATCCTCAATGTAATCTATCCAGAAAAGCAATAAAAGCCTGTCCAAGCAGGGGTTGGGGCCCTCTCTCTCACTTAGAGAGCTGCCATGCCATCCCTTTTTCTCCACAGGACTTCTGTAGTCTGTGTGAATTTGTTTCTCACAGCCACAACACATGGATCCTGTTGGCCAGGGTCTGCATCAAAGACCCATTAGAGTCATTGTACAGAAAAAACATAATGCATTTTTTAGCCAACCCAATAGATGCCTGGATAAATTTCCCAACAGTGAGCTTCACTTAATTGCTGGCAACAATTAATTTGCCTGAAAAATGTTAAACTAATCATCTTCCCAGGAATTGCCTTTCAGAGTCATATTTCAATATCAGAGAATGACCACTGGGGTAATATAATTTCTTACCAGTTGGGGTTGGGGAAAAAAATTAATCCTTCCAATAAAACCACTGTGAAATAAAAAAAATGCTGAAACTTTGGGGAAGTATTCTGGAAGTATTGGGTTGGTCAAAAATTTGTTTAGTTTGTCTTTAACTTCATTCAAAACAATTTTATTAGATTGTATTGTGACAACTGTCATATCACCATGCATTTTATAAAAACCATATCAAAATGGGTGAATTTTTGCACAGCCATTTTAATATTGAAGACTGAAGCAACATTTTCGGCGTATTATGACTTATTATTTCAAGAAAGGTAAAAATACAACTGAAATGCAGAAAAGATTTGTGAAGCATATGAAGTTGCTGTGACTGATGGAACATGTCAAAAGTCTTTCACAAAGTTTCTTGTCACTATTGACATTTCGGTCAAATAATTCTTTGCTGTGGGGCTATCTTATGCATTGGAAGATGTTTGGCAGCATCCCTGGCCTCTGCCCACTAGAAGCCAATAGCAAGAGATAGCCAACATACTCAAAATATCCAAATCAATAAAATTATCAGTGAAAATGAAAAATGTGTCTTTTATTTTATGGAAAAAAACTAAATGGACTTTTTGGCCAACCCTATATTAATAGCTACTGTTTTTCAATCCTCATTCATTCAACAAATGTTTACAGAGTGCCTACTCTGTGCCAGGCACTGACTGTGCCTGGGTATTCAGCAGTAAACAGACAGAATCTCTGCCCTCAGGGTGCTCCCTTCCATAATAGTCTAACTACTCCCTGAAATGACTCTGTCAGGTAGTCATTATTTCTAACTTATATAAATAACTAGGCGATCTGCCGGAGGCCACGCAGCTTATTCAGTGAAGAAACAGAACAGCACCCTGGTCTCTCTGACTTCAAAGCTCAAGCTCTTAACTGGCAAATCTCCAATTAGGGACTGAACTTTCCAACCAGAAAAGCAGTCATGTGTTTGTGGGAGGCAAGTAAGGAGGGAAGCATGAACATAAAAATATTTTCACATGGCTCCTTGGACATTTTCTCACTCATCAACCAGAAATGTTTTCTAGCTAGTAGCCATTAAGACACCTGAGACTGCTCCTTACGTTGGAAATGTGCTTTCTTCAGAAAAACAGAATTGTGCATTTTTAAGTAACTGAAATAAATTGACATTTGAGTCTTCACCAAGCAACATACAAAAAAGATTTCTTTGTAAAAAGTAGACTTGCACTGCAGAAGTGGATAAACCAGCATTTTCACATCTTTAACCTTTAACGTGCCTCAGAAGCCTTCCTGAGCTTTATATTTCATTCCTCATTTTTACCAACACATTTATTACACATTCATTGTGTACCAGTCACTGTAGCAGGTACTAAAGGTACAGAGATGATTGAGACAGTCCCTGACATTAAGAAGTCCACAATCTCATGGGGGTAGACAGAAACACAGACAGATAATTTCCACACAGAGTGCTGGTGTGAGTCACAGGCCCTGGGAGCTAAGAGGGTGCAGAAACCTAACCTCCCTGAGGGAGTCAGGGAGGATTTCCTGGAGGACGCCTGTGTCTTAAAAAAAAAAAAGAAAAAGAAGAAGGAAAAAGACATTCAGGGACAAATAAACAGTTTCCTGTGGCTTCAATGTAAAGTACCAGACAGAGAGTGTACTTCCATTCATTCATTCAATATTTTTTGAGCCTATATATCTGACAGTTCTGGGACAAGCACTTCACTAGGTTAACTCTTTTAAGCACCACAACAACTTTATGGAGTGCAAGGTATTATTATTCTCATTTTTTCAGAAGAGAAAACTGAGGATCAAAGAGAACTCAAGTAATTTTATTTAAGTCAACTCATTCCCTCTTGGCACAGCTCTGTTAGAAAGTATTTTCTCTGTTAGAAAGTACTTATACCGAACTAAAAGTTTTTAACACTGAGCTATAATTTCCACCTATAGGCTTCAGTTCTATTCCCCAAATTTTTTCACAAAATCTGTCCCCCTCCCAGTGATGATGATGATTATTGTTATCTTGATGGCCTGAGGAAAGTAAGAGGTCAGGTGGATAACTAAAATAAATACCTGTAATGGCTGAATCCAATTTAAAAAGGACACTGTATTTAACCAAAACTCACATATTAAAGTCTTCACACAAGGGTTTAAAGACTGCACATTATAATTCAACTTGAACTTTAGCTTTATAAGGTCAAAGCAAGGAAGGATGAGCTTAAAATGTCAGCATACTAGAACGTTCCATATAAATACTACACAGAGATTATTACCTCCTGAATAAAAACAAGAAATTGACGAAGTGCTTCCTCCTGTAAGAAACAAAGATGAGCTCGGAGACACTAGGCTTGTATTTAAGCTTTTTTCAGTCCTCTTGGTCCTTTCATGTTTCCCTAATCTCAAACACCCAAATTTGGCATAGTTTCCTTAAAATCTGTAAATAGATTTATTTATTCAATTGTCACTTTTTTCAGACTGAGCTGAAGACTACAGTTGTCAAGAATCCTATTGAAAACAAGGGACACAATTTAAGGAAATTAAACAATAAATCTTTAAAGTTTTCCATTAAAGTGTTCCTACTTTTATTTTCTCACTGAGTGTAGTCAGAAGACTACAAAGTGGGCCGTACTGGCCTAGGCCCAGACAGTGATCCTTCCGTCAGAACAGCACTTCTCACTCTTCAGTGCTGTTGAGCGCGTCCCCAAGCCCAGTTTTAACTCTTGTCTATAGGAGCTTGCAAAAGAATGACATTTATAATTTAAATAGCTGCAGGTTAAGAGCTATGTAAGGGTATCTCTCTACTATTTCCATATAGATTTGGGAAGTTTTTTGATTACCTAGTTGCTATTCTTAATAGCTGACAACCTGATGTACAAGCCAAAAGATGGAAATATTGAAGTCACAATCAGATACACAGAGTCTGCTCACGTAATGCCAATGTCAACCAAAATCAAATATGTCTCTCTAGGAGCAGTGTAACATAGGAGAACAAACAGGATTTTTATGGTCAAACAGACCAACATTGAAATCTGGCTTTATTAGTAACAAAAACAAAGCTGGATAAATTTTGGCAAGTGACCAAACACAGTGACCCTCACTTTCCTTCTCAGTTACATAAAAAAACTGTAACAACTACTTCACAGGATTATTGTGAGGTTCAATTTTAGATAATATATTTAAAGTACCTCATATCGTGCCTAGAATAGAAAAGGTTGGGAACTTCAAAAGTGTTTGTTGAATAGATAATAAAAAGTTTTTATTACCATTAATAAACAACAGTAACAAAAGTAAGACAAATTGAGAACAGATGATGTTTCATTTTATGCTGGGGAGTTTTTAAAAGTATTTTAATTCTGTTGCTGTTTTGTTTTTAATCCTTTAAGCATGTTAGTAATAGAGTATAACATCATCTCTCTTCTCCGCATCCTCTATTTTTCAAGGAATAGGAAAACAGGATGCCACTAGGTATATTCCATGTTGTTTATTGTCCAACATTTTTCCTGGTTCTGTTTTCTCAGCTATTCTACAAGTGTCTCTATCAACCAAAGTTTTTCTTTGGACCAACAAAAACTCACCTGAAAATGATATTCGTATGGGAACTGATGTCTTTGCCTCCATACGTAGTAGTGGTCCAGGAAGGCCTTGGTTTCACACCCCACTGTTTAAAACAATCATCTGAAAATTCCTTCAAGTCCCATGAGTGAGGTTCAAACATGTCATCAATCCCATTTGTACAAAAGGGCATGACCATTTCTGTGCAGGCCTGAGAAAGCAAACCAGAAGAATCTAGTGAAAAATAAAGGCACAAAGAAGTTGAATAACTTGTCCAAAGTCATACAGCTAGTAAGCAGCAATCAGGGCTGGATGTCAGGAAGTCAGGCTTCAGAGCTCCTGCTTATTACCTCTGCCCCACACCACCTCTCATTGCTCCTGGGAAGGCTTGGTTGAGAAGTCACACAAGTTAGAACTATATATTCCTTCCTTGTAAACCGCTTTCTTTCACATCTCTTATCATACTGAATCCTCAAAAAAACTCTGGGAGGAAAGTATTCCTATTGTTATTATTCTCATTGTACAGATAAGAAACAAAGCCGCACATACAGTCAAGTTAGACTCCCCTTCTTTTATGAGGTCTGTCCAGAAGGTACCTAGCCATGTAATATGAAAAGTAAAGACATTTATTGAAAAAGATACAAGATACCAGAAACACTGTACATTGGACAGTGACACCTCAGTCCCCCTCAAAGTAGTTACCTTGGTATATCACACAGTTCTCCCAAATGCTGTCAACTGTCCTGTTGTATTTTTCTGAATCTCACAGATGGTCTGAAATGTCTTCCCTTTCAAAGGTGATTTTAGTTTGGGGAAAAGCCAGAAGTTGCAGGGTGCCAAATATGGGCTGTGTAGGGACTGAGTCAAACGGGTGATTTGATGTTTCACAAAAAAACTCTGCACTAGACGTAATGCATGAGCAGGCACACTGACATGATGAAACTGCCAATCACCAGTTGCCCATAGCTGCAGACTTTTGAGTTATCAATTAGCTTCCACAGAGGAATGTTCAAGCTCAACACAAAAACTGATGCAGATTCATTGCTCTGCTCACTCAGTTATTTTAAAAGCAACAGATTCGCAGTACACATAACATCTCCCTCAGTGGCATCTACTGCCCCCACTGACTAATACAGTGAAGTCATCACTGTTCACACATGCGCATTCCAGTCCCCTCTCATTGGCTGCCAGGTTACATTGATGTTGTGCAAACCATTCATTACATTAACAAGAGCTGGGCTTTTTCTGGACAGACCTCATTTGTGCCTATAAAATACTTCCTTTATAAAACTTATCAAGACCTATTGTACTATTAGGTACACTTCTTTTTCAACAAGCTATATCTGATGGTAAGACCGTATCTTATTTATCTTTGTGTATCTTTGGAGCCTAGAAAGGTGATGACCAACAGTAAATATTCAGAATATATTTGATGATGATTAAATACATGTAAGAGTGAATAAGGAAATCTATCCATGATCTCTGAGTAAGACCAAATTGAGATTCAGGTTAAGTGACAAAATCTTGTGGACTCTCTGTTACAACACAACCATATCAGTGAAAAGTAAGTACCACTTGGGGAAACTATACACACTTACCTGATAGCTCCAACCCTGGGTTCCCAGACTACTAGTTGCTATCTCTGACATATTCAGGCATGTCACCTGGCCTGAATAATTGTGATATACATTCAGAGCTTGGAAAATATTCTGCAGCAACTCTTTATCCGATACATGGGGATTTTTCAAATACTGGCATACCACCTGTCATTTCACAGAGAGAAAGGAGGTAATCAGAAGAGAAATATAAAATTACAGTGTAATAAAACAAAAAAGACATAGGACTTTGATTTGATCATAAAACAATCTTGAGCATTCAACTTGCACTATTTGACAATTTCTCTGTTTTGAGTATAATCCCTTTACAAATGAGTAAACCTTTTAAATTATGCCCCAAACTAAAACAAAACCAAAGTTAGTTGCATAACATGCAAAGTGCCCCCTACCACTCTAGCTTCATTTTCTGCAGGTTTTGCTGCTCCCTAGCAAAACATTTCCAGCCCACCAAGCTCTTTCCCTCATCTCTGCCTTTGCTCACTTGAAATGCCCTTTTCCCACTCTCCCATTCCACTAAAGTATGGCAAACACCAACTCACCTTCCACAGTACTCAGGTCAAGTATCATCTCCCCCATGAGGCCACCACTGCCTATGCCCTCAAGTCAGGGAGAAGTAAATCATTCCCCTCTGTATGCCTTTACTATGCCCTGTGCCTATTTCTCTCAGAGGCACTATAATGCTGTACAGCACTTGTTTGATTCCACGATGTCCCCCTCACCACTTACTTAGCAAGATATCTACGAGCAGCTTCCAGCAACACTGTCCTAGAGAAAAGAGAAACTTGGAAAGACAAAGAAAAGGCATCATAGAAAAAGTTAAATGCCTCTTCCAAAATGTATATTTCCATGTAATTTTAAATAATATTTTGTGGGGGGGGAAGGTTTGTTTCATAGTCAATTTCAGGAAATATATTAGCAAATGTGACAGTTTTCTTGACTGCAGGATCCTAAGAGCCTTTAACATGCTCAACTACAAGACTTCTGTCGAAGAGGGAGGTGTAGGTAGACACAATGTGCCTCCTCGCACAACCAAAATAAGAACAACAACAATTTAGAAACAAAATAACAACCAGAACTGACAGAAAATTGAACTGTATGAAAGTTGGACAACCAAGGAGTTAAAATAGACACATTCATCCAGACTGGTAGGAAGGGTGGAGTCGGGCAGCCAGGTGGAGAGGTCAATGGCACAAAAAGCAGTGGCATTGGGCGCACAAGGCACCTCGGGCATGCAAGACGGCAGCAGGCAGACCCTGGGCACATAGGCAGCAACTGGTAGACCTCGGGTGCAGGATGGCAATGGGCAGACCCAGCAAGGCAGCAATTGTGAAGTGAGGCATGGCATGCAAGGTGACTGGCTGACTGGACAGTCCTGTATTCGTGCGCAGATAAACCAAGTGAAACTGGGGAGTGAGACAGACCACACTACCCAAGGTCCCAGCGCTGAGAAATAAAGCCTCAAAACACCGATTAAAAACACCTGTGGGGGTTGAGGCAGAGGGAGACACTCCCAGCATCACAGGAGAGTTTGTTGGAGAGATCCACAGGGTCCTCGAATGTACACAAGCCCACCCACATGGGAATCAGCACCAGAAAGGCCCAGTTTGCTTGGAGGAAGCAGCAGAAGGGACTGAAATCCTACAGAGAGTAGAACAAGCACCATGGTTCCCTCTTGGACCCCGCCCCAACATACAACATTACAACCCAGCAACTGGGTTGCCCCGCCCTGGTGAACACCTAACGCTCTGCCCTTCATAGGTAACAAGCCTGACAAGACCAAAAAAAAAAGGCCCAAATGGAGGAGCAGATCAAAGATCCACAGCAAATACAACAAAGCAACCAAGAGATAGCCAACCTATCAGATGCACAGTTCAAAGCACTGGTGATCAGGATGCTCACAGAATTGGTTCATTTTGGTCACAAATTGGATGAAAAAATGAAGGCTACACTAAGTGAAATGAAGGAAAATGCACAGGGAACCAATAGTGATGGGAAGAAAACTGGGACTCAAATCAATGGAGTGGACCAGAAGGAAGAAAGAAACGATCAAACATAAAAGAATGAAGAAACCAGAATTCAAAAAAAATGAGGATAGGCTTAGGAACCTCCAGGACATCTTTAAACATTCCAACATCCAAATTATAGGGGTACCAGAAGGGGAAGAGGAAGAGTAACAAGTGGAAAAGTTATTTGAACAAATAATAAAGGAGAACTTCCCCATTCTGGCTAAAGAAACAGACTTTCAGGAAGACCAGGAAGCTCAAAGTGTTAGATCCAAAGAAGTTAGAAGTTAGATCCAAGGAGGAACACACCAAGGACCATCAGAATTACATTAGCCAAGGTAAAAATGAAGGAGAGAATCCTAGAAGCAGCAAGAAATAAGGAGACAGTTACCTACAAAGGAGTTCCCATCAGACTGTCAGCTGATTTCTCAAAAGAGGCCTTGCAGGTAAGAAGGGGCTGGAAAGAAGTATTCTAAGTCATGAAAGGCAAGGACCTACATCCAAGATTGCTCTGTCGAGCAAAGCTTTGATTTGGAATGGAAGGGCAGATCAAGTGCTTCTCAGATAAGGTCAAGTTAAAGGAGTTCATCATCACCAAGCCCTTATTATATGAAATGTTAAAGGGACTTATCTAAGAAAAAGAAGATAACATGTACAGTAAAATGACAGCAAACTCACAATTATTAACAACCACACCTAAAACAAAAACAAAAACAAACTAAGCAAACTAGAACAGGAACAGAACCACAGAAATGGACACCACATGGAGGGTTATCAACAGGGAAGCTGGAGGAGGAAAGAAGGGGAAAAGGTACAGAGAATAAGTAGCAAAGATAGTAGGTAGAAAATAGACAGGGGGAGGGCAAGAATACTATGGGAAATGTAGAAGCTAAAGAACTTATGACACATAGACATGAACTAAAGGGGGGGAATGTGGGTGGGAGAGGGTGTGCAGAGTGGAGGGGAATGAAGGGGGGAAATGGGACAACAATAATAGCATAATCAATAAAATATATTTTTTAAAAAATGCTCAACTACAATGTGACTTTCCAAAAGGAAGATGGAGTATGCATTATTTCCAATAAGTTTTTGGAAATATTGAGTGTGAGAAAAAATCAGAAATTAAAATGTTCAAATAACTAAATATTCTTTACTTGAAAAAAGTAACTGTGAGGCCACACACCAGGGTTTAGGGTGCACATAGAAAAACAGAATTGTGCTAAACTGAAAGCTTCATGAACTTACCAAGCCTAAAACAGTTAGAGAATGGTAAGATAAAAGATACCTAATTCCATGGCACATTTCTCAGAAAACCTGGCCCTACGAATGTGCCAATTATAAATACCCAAGAAAATAGGGAAATCAAGAATCAATCACAGAATTTATTAAATTAACTATTTCCAACAGATGATCAGCATTGCTTCCTGTATGTGGACACCAATAGTGGATTCAGCTCTTTCAAAACGCAGCACAAAACTACAGAGTAGACACATGGAATGCAGAGAACAGCATTATGTTCATGCACAGCATGGCAGATGAGGCAGGGAGACAATATAAGCTGGGCAGGGGGAACAGAGGGTGCTGATTTGCAGCAACGAGTGGCCTCAATCTCTGGAAAAGAACAGTAGCAAGTGAGTGTGACTCACATGTTGACATCAGATCCCCTCTCAGCACTAGTAACACTGGGCCTCTGTCAGGCAAAGAAAAGAGGAGATCCCATGAATAGCATCTGAAAATAGCAGTTACTGTTGCTCCTTAAAAGACACAAGCACAGCTGGGGACGAGCACCAGTTGACAATACTTGGGTTTTGGCAGCCCCAATTATACAAAGAGAAAGAAGATGACACTGAGAAACTTTGCCTCTGATGACAGAAATTCCATGTCCAGATTAAGGGCAGTCCTGGACCCACTCTCCTCCATGAGGTCAGAGCACCCTTGGAATACTGGATCCAGTTCTGACCACTGCACTTTAAGAAGGACACTGACCAGCATGAGAAAATCCAGCGGGGGGAGCAATCAGAATAGGGAGTTGAGGAATAGATGAAGAAACCCTACAATTGGTCATTGGTATCATTCTCAATCTTTCATTATTACAAGACTACAATAAATATACTTAAAGCTAAATGTTTACAATTATCCTAAATTGTTTTCTTGAAATAAATTCTTAGAGGAAGTATTTGTTCAAAGGAAGTAAAAATTTTAAGGCCTTTGCAACATCTCATCAAATTGCCTTATAGAGAGCGGGCTGTGTGGAGGGAAGAGAAGGGAGAAAATTTGGCACAACTATAATAGCATGCATGATAAAACACTTAAAAAAGTGCCTTAAAGAAAGGAAGTACCCATTTATAATTCTACCAATATACTAGATAGAATTCATAAAAATATCACGTAAAAATTATTTGCAAATTTACTAAGAAAATTTTGTTATTATAGGTGTTTCAAAAGTTCCTTCCTAACTCAGAGACTCTAAATCCAAGCATCATCCTCCAGCATGGAAAGCACAATCTCTACATTTCTCTATGTATTTCCTTAACAATTTTGTTAGCAAAGAGTAAATAAATCTTTCCAAAAAATGCTGAGGTCATACCAACAAAACTTCAGCACTACTCCCAAATTTATTCAAAGGCTAGTAATTCAAAAGGACATATTCATATACTTTCATTGAAGATCTGTAGGATACACAAAACTTATGTAAATGCTATGTTGAACCCTATGAAATTGCCATGTTTATAAGTCAAACAGTCAAATATTGGCATATTTAGTTTAAGGTCATATAATACTTCAACTTAAGCCTGATAATTTGAAGACATTACCCACTTTTGAGGGCAAGCACTTATATCTGTTGAATGTTTACTTGGGGGACATGATCTATTCAGACAACAAGAAATGAGTTCCTGCCAACCACGTCCACCCAAAATACTCAACATGAAGGTAGCCCCTGTACTGTATTTTCTATTTATTTTGTGGGCACTAACAGCATCTTCTAAACAATTTCTACATAAGGCATTGCTTAAGGCCATAAATTCAATGATATGTGGACAGCTGAGGCTCAGGCTGCTAGTACAACCATTGAATGTTCCTTGAGGTCATGTACTTTCCCTACAGTGATGTAGGGAGAAACATAATGACAGTCCCCATTTCACA